CCTGCTTGGAATGTCGCTACTTCCTATGCCTAGGTGCATTCTACGAGCAGAAGGAGGGCGCTCCGATGGGGCTCAGCCTATCTGTCGTCTTGGCGAATGCCTATATGGAACATTTGGAGCAGTCCATCCTGACATCCGCCACTCTGAAGCCCACACTCTGGAGACGCTATGTTGACGACACTTTCATCCTGTGGCCCCACGGCGATGAAGCTCTGCAAGAGTTCCACCAGCGGTTGAACGATTTCTGCCCAAGTATCCAGTTTACACTGGAGCGGGAGGTGGACCAGAAACTGCCGTTTTTGGACGTTCTTGTCCAGAGGTCAGAAGGTCGGCTGGGCACCTCAGTCTACCGGAAGGCGACCGCATCAAACGTGTACCTGAAGTACAACTCGAGCCACCCCGCGGCCATGAAAGCTGGTCTAATAAGATGCATGGAAGCCAGAGCAAGACGGGTCTGCAGCGACATGTCAAGTGTGAAGGAGGAGAAGAGCAAGATACGGGATGTGTTCGTAGCCAATGGCTATCCGGAGCCGTTTATCAAGAGGGCTATGAGACGCCGTGACGCCAGCCAGACCGTACAGGGGGAAGCCGCCGCCAGAGACCAAGAAGCCTATGCGGCAGTGCCCTACGTCCCAGGTCTCAGCGAAAGGATAGCCAAGGTTCTCAGGCCACACAGAATCAAGGTAGCTCACAAATCCAAGCGATTGAGGGGTCACCTGGTTAACGTCAAAGATCCCGTGGAGCAGAGCAAGAAGAAAGGGGCCGTATATGAGATAAAGTGCTCGTGCGGCTCCAGCTATATCGGAGAGTCAGGGCGACCAAAACAGGACAGATTGAAGGAGCACACCGCCGATATCAAGCACGGACGCTGCGATACGTCAGCGACGGCCAGACACTTTTGTACCTGTGGCGGTGACTTGAACCCGTTCGAGGCGAGAACCCTAGCCATCGAACGCCACTGGAAAAAACGTAAAATCAGGGAGGCCATCGAGATCCGACAGCTGCGCCCGTCAATGAATCTCGACAGCGGTGGCGTCCAGCTGAGCCCAATATGGGACATTGTGCTAAAAAAAATAGTGGTTGGCACGCTGAACGAACACGCGAGGGGGGGGGGGGGTCACCTTGTGTAAGTGTGACTTACCTGTAACTGAAGTGACGCTGTTTTTATTAAATTAGCGCTGATTGTCTAAATATTTAATTAAAATTCCGTGATAGACAGTGATATTGTATAAGTTCTTAGGAAGGCGGTATCGTATAGGTTATTTTATCTGCACTGGAGGACCCAGCTCCACCGATTGCATGGGAATTGTGTTATTTTGTTGTGCTTAACAAAGCTCGCACTGTGCATCACTCGCATTGAAAAAGGTACCACTACGAGTATCGAAATATTTGCTATCAATTTTTCAATATATATCACTCAAGAAACTCCGAAAATATTATTTCATATTCATTATAACTTGAGGAAAAGGTAACATGACTCTTAAGTCATACATAACCTGTATTTGCTCCCTTTATGGGCCGGAGGTACTTTCTACATAGATCTGTGAGTTAGTTTCACGTAACGAGACCGGTTTTGTCAATGTATTCTAGTTATCCGTCAGGAGGTGGCATTGTCAGATTGACACTAGATATGTGCGGTTGAGCCTGTCTTTATCCTTTCCAAGGTCCTGTGACATGACATACCTGCTGGGCCGCGCTATTCTGCGAACAGTTGCCCAACGAGAGAGAGGCCTGCATAATTTGCAGAAAGGTAACGTAACGTCAAACGTGGGCAATCAGTAAAAGGTGCTGATGCGGCTTAGATGGATACATCATGTCCAGCGTCTTAAAACTTTAAAAGAACAATGTAAGCTGCAAAAGTATAAAAATGAAAAGCCTAAATATAAGATAAAACCAAAAGAGAGACAAAAATATCCTACATATTTATTTATGTTGCAAAATAAAGAATGTCAAACCCTTGGGACGGTCCATTTTTATAAGATCAATGAAGCAATAAAATATACAGGAAACTATGATTAGCAATTACCAAGCTAAGAAATCAAAATGAAAATATTCATAACGCAATAAACTGCCGTTACTTACGAATCTTGGAGCAGTTTGATATGATACGACACTCGATGCATGCAGTATTCTGCATTCACCTCGCATTGTGATAACAAAGAAGGCGCAGGACTCGCACAGACGGAAGCGGCCGCATTGCAACTTTCACCTCATGCAAATGCAGCATAAAAACGCCGAAATCCAGACTGCCCCATAATCCAGTAGATTGGGAAACAGGTGAACTGGGCACTGTGTCATCACTCATCATACGAAATCCGTCACGCGCAATTTAGGTGCCAACAGTCGCTGACAAAATTCATTGCGGAGACTACGCTGGATGTGGAAAACGCCTGGCATTGTCTATATATTTCAGCAATTCTGACAATGTGCTATCTTTTTTGTTATACGATACAAAACACTAAAGATTCGTGTAATCTGTGTAGGTAAGGATAACTCCACTCATCCGAACCGCACGCATCAGAAGATGCATGCTGAGATTATTTGTGTGGTGTTTCCCGTCTCTCTGTTCTACGAGTATGTGGCTCAGGCGGTATCGGTACTCGGTACTCGGTACTCAGTAGGTACTCACCGCGCCCGTCGCGAGTTGCCGTTTGACGCTGGCCGGGCCAGCCGCGGGTCACAGCGAACCAGCAGAGAGGCTCGGTCGGCGCTGGGTGAGCTCAGGCCCGACCCAGTGCCGGTCAGAACATCCATCGCGGCCGTGTCCTGGAAAACTGACCGCACGCCGCACACCGGACAGGTGTCAGGTGTCAGGTAAAATGGGACGGGTGTCAGGTGGCAGGTGGGAGATGACAGGTGACTGACAGTAACATAAATGACTAGCTCGGTGGATGGAGTTGAAGACGACTATGTAAGACAAATGTAGCCACTAGTTAGTCATGCAATTAAATATTCAGAAAAAATCACTGTCAATCCTCACTTCTAAATCCTGTTGTATGTAACATTGTTTCATCATCATATCTTTCAAAGCTCAGAGCATTACCAACGTTAATGCATTCGTGGGACGATTCCCTTCCCATTATTTCACAGCTCAGACGAACACATATTCCCCGCCCAAAACCATCAACACCACAAACAAGTAACAAACAACCATGCATTGCTAGCCGGACGTCTCTATGCGGACAGGGTTACGTGTCGACAAGGCCGGGCTCTGGGGGCTGTTCGGAGGAAAACATGGAGTGCCCGGTGAGATTGTGGTGAGATAAGCCCCCGCCCTGTCTGTCAGGCTCAGCTCGCCCCAGAAATACCGCCCTTGCCGACTGCAGCGCGTAGTGCGTACTGCGAACCCTCGCGCAGGTCGACCCATGAGCTGCTCCCCTCACTACCCCTCCACTCCCGCAGAGACACATAACCCGTCATTTTCTCTACCCCAACACCAGTCAGACGCTCCAAGATGCGCACCGTACGACTCTATTCGGGCTCGAGTACCACAGCCATTAGGCAATCACGTTGGTAATTTCGGCGCGGCTACTGCGCCATTTTCGGCTCGACTGGCCTCCGGCTTCTGTAGCCCGGGGCGGCCACGCTCGTCCAGCCTCGGTGGGAAAGTGACCGGTCGGTCCGACCGCAAAGGCACGCGGGACACCGCGGCGAGTGGCGAGGTAGTGGTGGAGGACTGAGTCGTGTCGGGCAGGTACCGGTGAACAGACGCCCTCCGGACACGAATCTTAGCGAGGGAAAGTTAATACAACCTGTTGTAGAGTCGTCTCTTTTAGTGGATCTTTCTAAGTGGAGATACAAGCGAGAGTTCGTACTTCGTCTAGCTAATTGTAAGTAAGGATATATGTAGATAGCCGGGTTGTTTACACATTAATTCAATTTTTGAATCAAATGCCAAAAAATCAATTCTGATTTTTTTTTGCGTAAATTTTGGTTATCTAGGTATTTTAAGCAAGACATTGACGGATGACGGATTACATTCCATAATACGGTCATGGGTGAAAGGGCGACGAAGTCTTCTCATACAAATTCGCAACGCCACCGGTCTATAACTAATTTTACCGTTGCTGCGTCAGGTACCTAGATGCCGAAAATTGCACTAGCTGAAAAGCAGTTGAATACAGCACGAGCTTCGAGCATGCATTTTTTCAAATAGCGTCACGATTTTCATATATTCGCATACCCTATAAACATGCCCCGCTTGTTTCAACATTTTTTCCTACTATCAACTACAAAACGGCACCGTTACAAAATAAATCTACGTAGAAATCAATAAAACACTGGTCCATACTAAAAACATACCGTTCTCTGTGTAATAATTATCTTAAAAAATACTTCGCATGCATAGCCAATAGGCCTTTCGCAAGCATAGGCGGTGGAACGGGGAGGGCACCGGGGCACCGTGCCCCCCTTTGACTTGGGCATTTTACCATTAGCCCTATGGGCGTTGCATGGAAAGAATGGGACCAAAATTCGGCAGTGCCCCCCCCCCCTTAATTGAAGGTGTTCCGCCGCTACTGTTCGCAAGTGTCCTCAACTCAAAGCTCGGCCAAATATTCACTAGCCCTTTACACAAAATGGCAACATAATTGTAGGTACAACAATATATGTACAACGGCTATATAGTTCTAAATCGGTAGCATGCTGTACACACAGAAAAATATTGACACCGTTAGCGGTGTAATTGCACAGTACATATCTGAGCACTTGAGGAAAGTTAATTTAGTCCCTTCCCCGCTTAAATTACTCGCGCTTCCAAATGAACACCAGGAAGAAGGTAATAGAACACTGTTAGGAGGGTTGGGTGTTTTACTACATGTAGCAAAACACCCAACCCTCCTAACAGTGTTCTATTACCTTCTTCCTGGTGTTCATTTGGAAGCGCGAGTAATTTAAGCGGGGAAGGGACTAAATTAACTGTCCTCAAGTGCTCAGATATGTACTGTGCAATTACACCGCTAACGGTGTCAATATTTTTCTGTGTGTAGAGTGAGGACCAGACAGGTCAACACAAATCAGGTCTTACTGTTTGTTGTAGGTGCAGCTGTGTCAAAAAAGTAATCGTTAGTTACAAGTAGTTACTCATCTATTTAGTTATTTAGCTAGTTAGTTAGTAGGTGGGTGTTAGTTTGTAATTCACATTTTAAACGTTGGTGGCTATTTTAGAGCTTTAAGAAAAGTGTTCAATTTTGGCCAAGTTAACCCTCGCCGGCACAGGGGGGGGGGGGTTGATGCAAACCCCCCTTAAGGTTTTTCGCGAATAACTCGCGTAAAAAGCGGCCGATCGCGACGAAACTTTCAGTACCCTCGCATTGATCAATTTTACGCCTACCCTGAAGATGTCATAACCCTGACCCAAATGACCTTTGACCTGTGACCTCTTTTCCGAGACCATGTTTGACCGGAATCGCCATTCGGCGTATGTCGGCTCGCATTAGCCGCGCGTTTGCAAGCTTTTCGTGGTTTCAAACGTTAACATGTGATTTGATGTTGCTCCCATACATTAGGGTGGGTGTCAAGGTCACCTGAAGGTCAGGTCAGGTCATTGACCTTTGGTGACCTCGGGTGACCTCGGTTCACTTTTTCGAGTTTGACATGTTTCTAGGCTATTTTTTGGAGCTGAATTCGAACTTCGCAACCATTTGAACATTTACGAAGTACTTTTGGTGCCTTCGTAACATGTTACGAAGCTGTCAGAGGCGGTTGACAGGTATTACGAATACCCGTCACAACCGGTTGACCTACCTACCGGTTGACCTGACCTGACCTGACCCGACCTGGTCTAAATGCTTAAAGACATCATCTCTGATCAAAACTAACACGATATTCGTGATCAACACCCCGGAAAACCACATAGCAGCCACACTTTACGACTTTCTAACAGGTCCCGATTTTCCCGGTTTTCGGGTCATTGACCTGACCCCTGGAAGGTCACCCGATGACCTCGGACCTTAAAATTGGGTATCATCGGCTTCCTCTCGTGACGGGCAACACGCTCGTTGTTTCCGCGAAGCTCTAGCTCGATCAGGGGCCAAACGCGAGGGGGGTTGTACTTGTGCCGTCGAAGGACGCAAAATGGCCTGTGCCGGCGAGGGTTAAGGCACGGAATATATAGTCTACGACATGGAATGGACAGGAGCTTCGATTAGCATTGCCACGTGTGTAACCAAAAATCAAGGATTTGCCGGATGAATATCCCAATTAGTGAAGGATGCGGATGAATTTTTTTCCACGTGGGTTTACATTTTCATATAAATTTTCATATAAATTTTTCATATAGATTTTCTTAACAATCATTGAATGATTCGAATGATTCATCTTCGTCGTGACCAAATGAAGTTGTGACTGTGACTTTGAAATGGTAACCGTATATTTTGTTGGGAAGTTTAGCACAGATTGTTACTACAGCATTCATACATATTCGTTGCATTACCGTTTTAACATTGGTCTAAAATTAGAATGAAAATTAAAACGCGTTACTGTAAAATTTGTAAAGAGTGGTCTAATGCGGCACGGCACTGCCAACGAATACATCCGTGGCTGCCCGTGGCCGGGGTGGGCCGCCCTGGACGTCCAGAAAACCTTAATGCAGACTGCGAATCGCAAGCGCCGCTTAGAGCGACGGCTGCTGCTGACATATTGGCAGCCTCTGAGGCGGGCGTTAATCTGTCGCCGCTGGAGATGCTAGCTGCTGTCGCCGTCGCCGCCATCGCCAACGAACGGTCCGGGGTGCAGACGGCACCGGCATCGGCCTCCTGTGTGGCCCCGGCACTGTTGGAAGGGCCGCAGGGCGCCGCTGCTGGTACTGCTACCGAGCCGGCGGTGGAGATGTCTCCCATTTGGGACGCTGGAGTGGCCGAAGGCTCGGCTCGCCTACCAGCGTAGTGACGACATAATAGAGGGCTTCGCTGATCACGGCCCCCTCGGCCGCTCGAACGCCTGTGCTGACCATGCGCTGGTTATGATGGTGCGGGGCATCACCAAACGCTGGAAGCAGCCGTTGGGATTCTTCCTGAGCGCTGGAACCACCAAAGCCACCGTGCAGCAGCAGCTGCTGGTACAGTGCATCCGTCGTGTGACTGAGGCTGGACTGACGGTGCTGGCAACAACGTGTGACATGGGCACGAACAATCAGTCCACCTACAGGTTGCTCGGAGCTGCCGATAGCGGCGTCTTCACGGTAGATGGGCGAAATATTATCGCTTTGTATGACGTGCCGCACCTTTTCAAATGTCTTCGAAACGCCCTCATGAAACACGACATTGAAGTTGACGGTGAGCTATCTTCGTGGAGATATCTGGAAGCACTATTTGAGGTTGACTCCGCTTCTTTTCCACGGGCTGCACCGAAACTAACTGAACGACATATCAGACCCAACAGCTTCGAGAAGATGAAGGTTCGCTACGCCGTACAAGTTATGAGCAGAACAGTATCAGCAGCGATTACTATGTATGCAACCTTCAACAAACTCCCGCGATCATCACTCCCGACTGCTACTTTCCTGCTGCGCCTCAACAACCTGCTAGATGTCCTGAACTCTTCTACCCGGTTCAACACCTGTTCTATGCGTCGTGCGATTTCGAGCATCCACCCAGTGACAGCAGAAGAACACATCAAAATTCTCGTAGACGGCGAAGCTTGGCTTCGGCGGTGGACGGTCGGAGACGGCGCCAGCATCGATTCCGTGCGTGGTCTGATACAGACGATCAGAGGGGTTCAAGAAGTATGGAAATTGTGTCAGGCCGCTGGATGCACATTTTTGTGCACACGCCGCCTGAACCAAGACGCGCTGGAAAACTTTTTTGGCATGCACATTGGATGCACATTTTTGTGCACACGCCGCCTGAACCAAGACGCGCTGGAAAACTTGCTTGGCATCGTGCGGCAGCGAGGTGGGGGGACGGACAACCCAGATCCTATCCACTTTCGACATCTGTATAAGCACGCGTCCCTGAATGACCTCCTGTTGGTACCAGCAACTTCAAACTGCGCTGACGACGGAGACAGGCTGATCGCGGTCTTGAGGCAGGTGACGATGGAAACCAACGAACAGCCAGTGACGGCGCCACCGCGCCCGTCCCCTAACACACCGTCTGGAGCAGCGGGGAACTGCCCAGTGGAAATGGAAACCCGCAACGTATTAACCTACGTCTGTGGCTACCTCCTTCGCACTGCCCGCATCAGCTGCGACAGGTGCAGGGCAGTAGTGATCAAACAGGAAGCGATGCCTCTGGTTGATTCAGAGATATTTACGGCCTTAAAGTCGTATACATCCATCAGTACTACCGACGTAGGTAGCCTCCTGCGCCCTACAGAAGACTGCGACGCATTTATTATAGCGTGCCATCAACAGTTCCGAGCTCAAGCTGAACACTTTTTTCACGAAGCACAGATCTGCAAACGGCTGGTCAGCTGTGCACTGGAAACAAAAGAGGCCCGGCAGCTAGCGCAGGAGATGTGCCATCCTGCAGTGCTAAGCATCATGGCGGCAACATACATGCGTATGGAGCTGCACCGCATGTGCAAAAACTTGGTGAAAAGAAAAGCTACCAAGACGATTCAGCGCCCCAAGACTGCGGCGACGAAGAAACTAGCAAAGCTGCAGCACCGGTGACTAATAGGTCATACCTACGGCAGACGACTGCTCAGACATCAGCGGGCAGCGTAAGAGGTGTTATCCTACCGTACCCAATTGTCGAGCGGTGGAGGTCCGGCCGGTCATGCGCGGGAGGCCTACGGGAAGACGCCGAACTAGCGCACTGGCGGAATTGCCGCTGTCAGCCGGCCCTGTGCCGGACGACGGCGCAGCCTGACCAGCTGGCTACCACCTGCTGGGGAGGACCGGGCGGCCGGACGGTGATGAGTCTTTCGGCCACGTTTGGAGCGTCGTGAGCGCTCCAAATTTTAATACAAACAATTTTTGCAGACTTTTGACTTTGTCTAAAAATTTCACCGGCGCAACTCGCACAGTTTCGGAGCAACAACCCGCCAACAGAGACAGACTCACATACATCCATGCATAGTTTTAGAGTTTTATAATAGTAATTTAATTTATGAGAGTGAAAAAATAACCTCACGCTCATTAAATTGAAACGAAAATTGTTAATCCAGAATATATTCTCGTGAATGTCATTTCGTCAGTAGATTAACATGCAGAATTGATGGGAAAGCTAAGCAAAGTGTTTCGCATCCTCCGTGTCGTGAATGTCACCGACCGAAGTGACATTCACGAAAATATTTTTTGGATTAATAATTTTCATTTCGATTAAGCATGAGGTTATTTCTTTTCAGTCTTGTAATGTGTACTATGCTGAAAACAACGTCTAACTTTATTCAACAATAAGTAATTTAATTAGATAAAACTCATCTCGTCCATCAGCACGGAAGTGCCAAAACCACAGCAGCACACCCAAATTGCCAGGTAGCCAAAAACTCAGCAGTTACAGGAAAAATTCGTTTTGTCCATTCCATGTCGTAGACTATATATTCCGTGGTTAAGGGTAAAATAGAAAAGAGCTCTAGAGGTCGAGACGACAACCCAACAGGCATGAAATACTGTGCAGAATAATAAACTCTGGTGGGTGATTACTAAGTCTAAATAAGCATTAGAATTAAATCTCAGTGCCATGAGATGGTACACCTACGTTTCCTATATCTACGTGCGGTATAAATACCTTAAATGTATGTAAGAAAGAACTATGAAGGGTAAATTAGTTGACGAAGCAAAGCGTGATTCATATATTTTAATTCCACTTTCATGCAAATATTTATAGTGCTAGCTAGTTCAAACCACGTTATCATTTTTGTTAATGTCCATACTCACACGCCGCAGCCGGGCCGAAGAGGTCCTCCGATAGCAGCGCCACCTCCGGTCCAGCTTCTGAATCTCTGAATGCCGATTTCCCCGCTGGTGACGCTGAGGGTATACCGACGGGCAACACGTTGGAAAAAGCGATACACAGCTACACAAATGCAACTTATGTCGAGCACAAGCAAACGCCAGGGCACCAGTGCAGTGCACAACAACTATAAGTGATAACTTAATTGAAGTATCGTTATAATTGGAAGTTCCCAGCAACCACCATGCCTATTGCAACTTCTGATAGATTATGCCGCTCCTCAAAACAAGGCACACGTTTCAAAACGGCTTCAGCCAATGTGAACAAATGCATTTGGTATTTTACAGACTGCACTCCATGCCAGCCGACTCACCATGGGTGGCTCTCGGAGGCGGCGATGAGATGGAAGCTCCCCTCCGTATGATGAGCGCCTTCCCCCGTGTCTTCCTCACCGCCGCCGGGTTCACATTTTCGTCCAACATGATCTCCTCCGTACCATCCGAGCTGCCACCCCTCCCGACCGTCTGCCCTCCGCCCGTCAGGTCTGACATCCCCGGCTCAGCGCCTGCCCCGTGCGGCAGACCAGGCGTCGGCCGCTGGTTGTCGTTCAGAAGGGTGCTCCGTGGTCTGGCGGAGAGCACGGGACTGCAGGTGCTGTTGGGTCGCCTCTGTGGGGATCCGGTGCTCTGCCTCCGGCGCTGGGACGGGGAGAGGACCGCTGAGCTCGATACGTTGCGACGTACCACCACCGGGTTGAAGTTGGCGTCCTCCGTCTGTTCCATGGTTGAAGAGTTGCGGTCTGCCGGCCGGGGATGCGAAGAGACGGCTGGATATGCGGAGGTGTCGGCAGCAGAAACTGCAGCAGAAACAGCAGCAGAAACAATAGCTGAAACAGCAGCGTTAGAGGCAGCAGGAACAGCTGCGGTAGCAGTAGCGGGAACAGCTGCGGTAGCTACAGCGGCAGGAGAAGCGGCAGCAGAACCACTGGCTCCTTCAGCCGCGGCTCCGGCTGTTTTCAGCCTCGGCAGTGGTTTCTCTACAGTCGCCTCCGGTCTCCGCCTGGGAGAGACGAGTCTAAGCTGGCGGACAGCCACTCCTGCAGGAATCTGACGTCTCAGCCGGCTAGCTACTGGTGGTGACGGTGGTGCTGGTGTCGCCGCTGCCGCTAGTGCCACTGGTGTCGGGACTGGTGCCGCTGGTGTCAGGACTGGCGTAGCTGAAGGAGTCTGCGCGGTGCGAGCTAGATCAGCTCGAGATGGCTCACGGTCGAAGTCTACAACACGGTTCCGAGCTCCGGCTCCGGCTCCGTCCGCACTCAGGGGTGGTAGTTTGTGCCTGAGAGAGACACAGGGGCTGGGAAGACGGGATCGGGCGGACAGCGGCGGACTGAAGTTGGGAACGCCGCTGGTCTCTGGTAATGTGGTAGTCACTGACTTCTTGGGTGTGCCTGTCCTTACGCTTCTGGTCTGTAGCATCATCCGGTGGTAAGGGTAATTAGCAGCGGCACGGAGTTAAAAACAAATGCTACACATCCATTTTGCGTCCTTTGGCACCCACTTCATCCGGGAAAAGCAGTCCGTTGGCTGTTGAGTTTCACGAGCAGATGCCCAGTATTCTTGATACTAAATCCGCAGCACGCAATCTGAAATACATATATAAAGGAAGCAGTCATTACTTGAACAATCACTGGCGGATCCAGACTTGCGTTTTTGGGGGGGGGGCAACTCCTGCAAGTAACCAAACCTAGGGTACCCCCAAATCCTGTTTTCTCATCGGATTTAGGCCACTTATTTTTTCGACACAGCCCTGAAACGATATTTTTTTTAAAACTAAAAAAAAAATATAGAAATGGTAGCCCACCCAACCCGAGCCTAAATATTACTTTGAAAACACTTCAAATTGCTTTTGTCGACCAATTAGCCCGCTCCGGGTCGGTGCGTGGCGCAGCCTTCGCGGGCTGGGAGGTGTCGGTTGGAAAAAAAAAACAGAAAACAAAAAACAAAAACAAAAAAAAAACAGGCGTGTTGCCCGTGAGTGACGAGACGAAGCCGATGATACCCGATTTTAAGGTCCTTGGTCATTGGTTGACCTTCCAGGGCGGTGTTTCACGGTCGTGCTGACAGCCGCTGACAGCGCATTCCGCGAGCTAAGGTCAGCCTTCGGTAGTGTTGTGGGTATAGGCTTGTTGATATCTCCATTGAAACCAAAAGTGCCATCAGCGTTGGCAGCGGCTGGCAGCGTGCCGTGAAACACCGCCCAGGTCAGGTCACAGACCCAAAAGACGGAAAAATCAGGACCTGTCAGAACCTCCTAAAGTAAGGCTGTAATACGTTTTTTTGTGCTGATTACAAATTTCATGTTAGTTTGGATCATAGATAATGTCTTCATGCGTTTAGACCATGTCGGGGCAGGTCAGGTCAGATCAACCAGCAGGAGTAGGGGAGAGTGGGGTAATTTGGCCGGTGGTGTAAATTGGCCGCCCCCACCTGTACGATGTCTAATAAAAGTGAGTGAAATAACTCTAGTCTCTATTCATTTGTCATGGGTAGAAATAGCTGGAGGACAAATGTCAAAACTTTGCCCCTCTTAGTTTTATTCAAAATTAATAAAACGTTAATTTCACTAGAAAATGGTAACTTTTACTTCTGTTTACAAAGTTGTATAACATGTAGTATTTGGGCTAAAAACGAATTCAGACATTATAGCGCCATTCTTGGGGGTGTTCAGCCATTCCAAGAGCAATTTCACCTAATTCCGTATAGCCGTGAAGACTTTATACACAAAAATTTTCAGAATGGCAATATGCAGGGATGCGGAGCCGGAGCCGGAGTCGGAGCCGGAGCCGCCGGAGCCGGCATATTTTGCCCGGAGCCGGAGCCGGAGCCGGAGCCGTGAAACAATATAGCCCGGAGCCGGAGCCGGAGCCGGAGCCGCCAAAAAAGGGGGCGACTCCGGCTCCTTTTTATTTTTTGAAGAGGAAAAAAAAATAATTGACCTAGTTCGGTTTGACAGTACAAGGCAGTAAAACATATGGTACTTAGGTACGTCATGGGCCATCAAGTGAATGAAAAAATCCGAATATCCCCAGTATCCCACAGTACGCAAACAACTTCCTGTTTGCTCTTCCCCCCCCCCCCCCACGTCTACTGCATCCCCAGAACATGAGGACCAGTCATCAGGTGACAGCCATCGTTTTCAAACCAGTGCAGTGGACTGCGACTCCCAGCACCGTCTCATCCCACACACACCCCACCCCTCACCCCCCAATGCAGCCGAGACGAGTGTCAGCTTACGATGGTTCACTGAACTCCGATTCGCGGCGACTGCGTTTCCAATGCCATCGCTTCCTAGCCCTTTGTTCTGCCAGTTCTCCGAGGTGCGTTTGCGCGGGGACGCGGTGAGCCGGTCATGGCAAAGAGTAACGCGTATAACCAATCCAATTTTTCTTCCACCCGTATTTAATTGATTGCGTAGGGGATGTACTGAGTCGGAGCCGGAGCCGCCGGAGCCGGAGCCGCCGGAGCCGGACCATTTTACTCGGAGCCGGAGCCGGAGCCGGAGCCGCCATAACATTTCACCCGGAGCCGGAGCCGGAGCCGGAGCCGATTTTTTTCTCCGGAGCCGGAGCCGGAGCCGGAGCCGTTTGAAATTTCCACGGCTCCGCATCCCTGGCAATATGGGGTAATTTGGCCGGGACTAGCGGGGCAACTTGGCCGGTGCGCTCATGGTCACTATGCTGGGACGGCCGAGTTTTCATGGTCAATTGTACCATAAATGACATGATTCATGACCAACTTTGACTACTTTGATGCCTTACTTCCGATTGGTCAACTGTAAGAGCATGTGACGTCATCAAAGGTTACCAAACGTTTTTTTGCTAATAAATCCTTACATAAAAATGGTACAGCCGCACAACTGGTCTCATTCTGTTCAGCTCGCCAAGGCGCATCGAATGATATGCATGATGACCTTGAAATCACGTGACCTTGAGGTTAAGCGACCTTAGGTAACGTGACCTGAGGTCAACCTTTGACCTTGACTTCTCAAAGTCAACACATATATGTTTCGATGCGGAATGACGAGAGAAGTACGATGGTACTCGAAGTTTCGGCCTAGCTTGATTACTTCAAAAGTTATTCGTAAAAAACTGTCTTCGGATCTAGAGCCGCTAATTTGGCTGTTTTGACCCCTGTGACCCCATGAGTCAACCTCCAAAATGCGGTAAATGCGTCATAGGACACACGTCATTGCTGAATCTGAAGCTGACTCGCAATATAACAGAAAATCCCGACCGCAAACTAACACCGGCCAAATTGCCCCACACCCCCGGCCAAATAACCCTGCTAGTGGGGCAATTTGGCCGCCTTGCAGACCTTTGTAATACGTCACAATTTCAATATAAGTAATTACTCTATCATTTCAAGTTCACTGTCCAGTAAAGAAAAATGAATGCGACACCTGCCAGCGTTGAGAAAATGCAGAAATGTGTCGTCAATTTTAAGTTACATCGTTTTCTAAAAAAAGCGGCCAAATTACCCCACTCTCCCCTACTTATGGGCGTCCGTATAGCAGGTGTCCACTACCACTGGCAGCTACGTAACATGATACGAAGGCATCAAAACTACTTCGTAAATGTTCAAATGGCTGCAAAATGCTAAATTCAAAATCAGCTAAACGAAACTATCCTAGAAACATGTTAAACTCGGAAAAGTGCACCGAGGTCATCAAAGGTCAATGACCTGACTTGACCGTAAGGTGACATTGGCATCCGCCGTAATGCGTGGGAGCAACATCATATCACATGTTTGAGCGTTTAAAACCACGAAAAGACTATGAAAGCGCGGATAATGTGAGCCGACATACGCCGAATCGCTATTCCGGCCAAACATGGCCTCCAACATGGCCAAACATATGGTACGTTCGGAGGCATATTTACGTCTGGACAACGAGTTGCGGGAAAAAGTGCTGATTTTGTTGCAGTTTTAGGAGCCGGTGATTAGGCTGGATTTTTGGGTTACTTTTCCGTTCCGATTCATGTATTTTATAGTGTTTGGCTTTTGAATGTTTTATTTCTTTCAGATAAATATTACTTGCCTTACAACTTTTGTAAAAACGTTTCATTTTTTATAAGCCGACCTTCAGAGTCCTAAAAATACATCAGCACTACAATAATTGTAAACAAACAAATGGAGAGCACACCACTTGGCTCTGTTCCAAGGCACTTTTTAAGTTTATCTGGTGGTTTCCGTACTCTTGTACGTCGTTTCAGTTTTGTTGGATGTTTTGGATCCCTTAAGATTGACTTATATCATATTTAAGAAGCATGTGGCGGAAAACAATCCCAAGTATCCAGGAGGCTCCAGGAGGCTGACAGAGGTCCTGACTCCTGAGCAATATCAATATCAAGTGGAACTTGAAGTTATGAAATTTTGGTTGATAAACGCAAGTTGATGGGGCTTATATATCAGCAAAAAAAAGAGTAAAATTAAAAGAGCTTATTGGCCGAAAACAAGCTAAAATATTGCAGATCTTGGAGCAATACTGAAGAGCACGCTGAGCAGGATCATGCCAGAAAATGTTGACTGATGAGCGCATATTGATGTATTGGTATGAAATATGAATATTGAATGAAACTTACAACAGCAAGATAAATTGGTGCTAACTATCAAGTTAAAAATCTAGAATGAATGGACTTTGGCAGCTTTACTATGCTTAGATGCTATGCAGATTGTAATGTGCATCAGGTACTCAGTGTCTGGCAAATGAAACATACGATCATTCCATTGCTACTGCAACTGGAGGAGAAAGCTTGGGATCACTAAATCCACTTTATGTTGATTTTGATGTTAACCATTACTGTATTTCTTGAAGAAAGGATTGTTATAAGATTGTCAATGTGACATTCCATGCAACAATGTGATCATATGATGTGTTCATAGTCATTCATGAATGATAGTGATTCATGATTGTTGGTCCAATATACAATGGCAAAGCTCTCAGTCTCAGCGTTTCTTCCTGTGGATGGCCAGCAGTGACTGAGAGAGCTTAGAAGTATTAGTTTTCTTCACAGGGCTGGGATAAAAAGTACTGAGGGTAATCTCCCACCAAGGAACTCTACTTTGTTTTGACAAACTTGAACTTGAGTTTTGACATCACAGAAGGTAGGTGCTTAGTTCCTATAGTCAGCAGTTGTGTAGGTTTAGTCGGGTTAGCTTAGATTAGGTTATGTTAGTTTTTAATTTGCCAAGTGTCCATAAAAATGTGACCTGAGCAATGAGCACTCCTGAATAACCTGACAGCTGACCTAACCTCAATCGTCACAACTCACATATTTGCAGCCTACCCAGTACCCAAGACCTGCGTAGCAGTAGCACCCAGTTATAGGTAGGTACTCACCCTAACTCAATCTTCCCTGCTAACCTTCAACTTGCCTATAGCTAGCTCACCTTGCCAAGCTGCATCCAGGGAAACAGTCAGC